TATGCCACTGGATTCTCCTTAAAAAACCTAGAAAGTATTTTTCGTTTTTGGATATCTTAAATAATAAGGAAATTAGAGAGTCTTTTAAAATTGGACAAAATTTGAAAAATGCCCTGTATTTCCTAAACACATCAAGTTAGCCGTGATTTGTCTTCGCCATTGTTATTTTCTCAAAAAAAGAACTCGAGAATGTGCTTCCAGATTTTTGATATCTCTGCTAGTTTTCGATATAGCCTATTAAAACATCGAAAATGGGCCACCCTGTACAGGACTACAGGTTTATCAGAATTGTGGCTGAATAACTTAAAATTTCCGTACTTGAGGTTGAATCCACTTGAATCCAAATCAAATGCAATAATGTATAATCATTGGGGATGTTTTTTTGGTAAATTTAATGATCACTGATACGATAGGGAGCCAATTAGAAGCTGCGGAAGAAGACATTTTGATTAATATCGATCCGAGAGCTGCTAATGAGTAATGGTAATTTCACTTATTAAATCACGTCACGTGTTAAAAACATGTTGACTTCATTGCTCATTCAGCTAACATTTGGTAAGGTGAAATTAATATTAGGAGCAGTTTATATTCCACCAAATTCACCTAGTGAAACCTATGCTAACCATTGCAGCGAGGTGGAAAACATAATTCGCAATTACTCTTGTTCACCCCGTTTATTTATTTGGTGACTATAATCTGTCCTCACAGCTAGCTAGTACAATCAATGTCCCAGTGGTTATCTTGCAGATACAATTTGTGACAACTTTTGCTTATTCAGCCTAAAACATAAGAATCATATCCCAAACCCGCACAACAAATATTTGGATTCGATTTTTTCCTCTGGGGACTCTGATTTTTGCATCAACATAGCTGATGATGCCTTTTTTCCTGATAGTTATCATCATAGGAGTTACTGCTGCACACTTTAAGTTTGGGAGAACGAAGAACTGTATTTCTTGGAGTTTTTTAGAGACTTTGCTAGAGCTGACTATATTGGAATTAATAGTTTTTTGGGTCCTATAAATTGGGAATTAGTACTGCAGGGAAATAGTGACTGCAACCGAAAAATTTTATGCAATATTAAAACAGGCTATCAGCCTATTTGTTCCTCTTAAGAGAAAAACCTCTTCGTCTTTTCCTGTATGGTTCACCGGGGAACTAAGCTTGTTAGAGATAAAAAGGCAGTTCATACCCAGTATAAGAAATCCGAGGGGTTTTTCACCTTGTTAATCGGTGTACAAATCACTGGTTAATATATGTCAATACCAGGTAAATAATATGTCAATAGTGTCAATACTATTCAATACCTACTTGTTAATTATGTAGGTAATATATGTCAATACTTGTAGATATCTCGGCAATATATGTTAATGTCATTGGTTGATACCCATTAATAACATGTAAATACCTGTGAATATGTCAATACCTAGAATTCTGGCAAGACAAATATTTGATTTTAGTCTGTCAATAGCATAGCAATACCTGGTAATATGTGATAATATAGGGAAATACCTGGCAATATGTGGAAATATACTACTCAAAACGAAATAAGGACCACTTTTAAGAGCAGGTTTTCATTGAATTTTGAATAACCTTGGTAAAGTGACTATTTCCATTTACAATAAGTATAGATAAACAAATAAAGTGTGCAGAAAAAATTTATATTGTAAATGGAAATAAACACTTTACCAGGATTATTCAAAATTCATTAAAAATAAATGGGTTTTCAAAAGTGGTCCTTATTTCGTTTTGACTAGTTTATTTTGTTAATACATGGAAATAGTTGGCAATAACTTTTTATTAGGTACATCTGTTAATACATGGAAATATCTCAGTTAGTACTGTTAATCGGTGTACAAATTTTGTTAGGTGAAAAACCCCTCGAAGAAATCTAATAATAAAAATGATTATTTACATTTTAGTAATCTTCGAGCTAGGTGTAAATAGTTAGGTATCTGATACATGCCATATGATTATATAGCTAATACTGAGAAGAATATAAATACGGACCCTAAAGGATTTTGGAAATGATTTAATTCATTAAGGTCAATAAGCGGCATTCCCTCTACCATGAATCTCAACAATGTGACAGTTTCGATCGAACGGTTCTGATATTTCAAATCTTTTTGCTACTCATTTTTCAAACTGGTATAGTGATAACTCTAACATTGATTTTAATAATAATGATACTAATATAACTGAAGTTGTGAATATCGGGCAAATAAAATTTAGTTTACGGGAGGTGTTCGTTGGAATACAATCATTGCCTAACAAACTCAGATCAGGTCCGGACAAGCTACTACCTTTCTTCTTAAAAAAATGTGTTTATTCCCTTGCTAAGCCTCTGCATTTTTTGTTTATTAAATCATTATCAGAACACAAAAGTTTCCAGTAGTTTAGTTGTCTAGCTACGTTTTGCCAATATTTAAGACTGGGGACAGACATGATATTAAGAATTATCGGCCAATAAGTATTTTGTCGACGGTTCCTAAACTTTTTGAAAAGCTCCTAATACCCTATCTACAGTGGCATTGTAGGAGTATTATTGATCCATCTCAGCATGGATTTGTACCCTAAAGATCTACTGTGAGTAACCTTTTGGTCTACAAGCAAGACATTCTTTCATCATTGGGTAACTTTGTCACAAATAGACTCAATATATACAGATTATTTTTGATCGTGTTAACCACTCAAGCTGGCAAAGCTAAAGGCAATGGGGTTTCAAGGCAATGGGGTTTCCCACATACTTATTAGAATGGCTTAAAAGTTATTTGTCAGGACGAGTGCAACTAGTAAAAATTCATAATTTCTGTTCACGAGAAATTTCAGCTACATCAGGTGTGCCTCAAGGGTCTCATTTGGGCCCATTACTTTTTGTACTATTCATAATGGACTTAACTAAATGCTTTACTTTCTGTAAGACTTTATTTTTTGCTGATGACCTCAAAATATACTCAGAGATAAATAATGTCGATGACTGTTTTAATCTCCAGCACGACTTGAATATGCTTAACGGGTGGTCCAAGAGTAATCACCATAGAGAAGTAAAAGTCCAATACTTTTCACTTAATATAGATAATTCATCTCTTAATAGAGTAGACAACATACCTGATTTGGGAGTTATTTTCGACAGCCAAATGTCTTTGGATCCTCACATAAATGCGCTATCATCCAGGGCATTCACTAGGCTGGAGTTTGTTTTGCGTAACTGTTCTGTTCCAATTGTACGTCATTTAAGTATATATTTCTTTGGTGAAAATGAAAAGTATACTAAATTATGCCTCTCCAGTCTAGACCCCTATTTATCAAATACATAGAGACAGCTAGGCTTGAATCTGTTCAAAATAAATTTTTATGTTATTGTGGATTCAGACCCCAAATTCCTCGAAATCAATGGACGTATGAAGATATGCGAAACATCCTATCTATTAATAGTCTCAAGTCTGATCGAATTGTGACCTTTGTACCATTTTCAAGTTAGTGTCTGGTGATATAGACTGTCAGGATCCACTCAAACAGATATGCTTCAAGGTTTCTTCACGGAACACTCATAGTACCAATTTGTTTCACATTCCATGTCATTCTAGCAACTATACATATAACAGCCCTTTATCTAGATTTTCTAGACTAGTAAATGTAAATACTCACAATTTTCAGGTAACTGGAATTTCATTTCCACAGTTTCACCGTCAGTTCAATCCCATCTTGTAATTGTAATTCTCCAAAGGGGTGACGTTTTGGTGCCTTTTTGTAAGGGAACCTACATTGTACCTGTCTCTTAGTGTTAGTGTTAACTTGTATAAATCACACCACTGATACTATATTTTAATCTTTAGTGAGTTTTGTGAAATTTTGTTGATCTTGTTAGTTTTAATTTTTTTTTTTTAATTCTGTTAGTAAATATAGTAATTATAGTAGTAGTCAAATTTTGTAATAGAGGGGTGAACCCGTATATTGAATAAATAAATAAAAAATAAAATATTATGTGCTCTGGAGCCTTGAGTGCCCTTAGAAAAATTGTCTAACGAATCCAGAGATGATAAAAGTTCAAATTTTGACTATTACCGGCTCTTGATTGGCTCCAGGAAAGTTTTCCAGATAATCAAGAGCCGGTAATAGTTCAAATTTTGATAACATGTGGATCTTGATCTATTGGATAATTCCTCTTCCAGAGCCAATTAGAAGTTGCAGAAGGAGAACTATCGATTAATAACAACTTAAGAGCTGCTAATGAGTAATTGAAATTTTGATTATTATTGGCTCTTGAGTCTCGACTGACCTTAAAAAAATCGTCTAGCGAATCCAGAGCCGATAATAATTCAAATTTTGACTATTACCGGCTATTGATCGGCTTCAGGAGAGTTTTCCAAGGAATCAAGAGCCGGTAATAGTTCAAATTTTGATTATCTGGCTCTTGATCCATGACAATTTTTTCAAAAATGTTCCAGGCTTTGAGACTTCAGAACCAAGTTCAGAACAATCTCAAATTTGCAGAAACTATAAATTGAAGCATCTTTCATAAAGACTTGCAATGCAAATCAATATTTCTTTCAAATTATGCATTAGAATGCATTTTTTACTAAGTCCACAAATTTTTGAGATGCTGGAGCAATGATAATTTTTCAGTTATAGACCAAGACCATGACAATTGTTTCTTTGTCTTAGAAACGTGACACTTTTTTCAAAAATGTTCTTGACTTGAGAATGGGTTCAAAATTGCAAAAACTACGAATTAAAGCTTCTTGTATAAGAAATCAAAAATCGCTTTTCAAAATTTTTCTCAGATGATGAGGAACGATTTCTTTCATGAATAAGCCTTAGTATAGGTAATGTTTTTTTTGGATATTGGAATTCCTACAAACTCTCTTTTTCTTCAGTCAACTTCATTAGAAGCCTTTTAAAGTTTTTATCAATGTCCTTAACCTGGTTGAAATAAACCAACCATCTGGATATGATTTCTTATCATAATTTCAATTTTGTTTTGCATCCAGTAACCCAAGATGTTCGATCCCAACGTCATAACGACCACAACGCAACAGACCCAAATCCAGTACCAACAACAGCCGCCGGACAAAGACAAAAACGGCCAGGAGCAAAAGCAAGATTTCGCCCCTTTCTGTTACGCCAACGTCAACATGATCCAGAAAATCGCACCCCAAACTCAACATTCCACCATCAACATGTCGCAGTTAACTGATGACAAATGCTACATTACTCAACCGGCTTTCAGCTATAACTATACTCTTGTAAGTATTTAAGCTATTTTCTTGCTTTTTCTTAAATTTTTTCTTATAGGTAAATCAAAATCTGCTAACCCAAAACGCTATATCAAACATTACTTTTAAATGTGACGTTTGCGGACTGATGTTTGCTCATATAAATCTTCTAAACCACCACAAAAAAGTAAACCACGGACAGACTGATCAGCAACAGGCCCAGCAACAACAAATCACTGTCCAAGTAACCAGAAACTTCACATTTTTAACATTATCTTATTAAAAATCTTCTAGCTGATGCCCACTCAAGTTCAACAAGCTCAACAACCGACACAAATTCAAATAGTATCTGCAGATCGGATAAGGTTTTCGTGCGAAGAATGCGGAATGACATTTGCCACTCAGGGCGAATTGAAAACGCACAAGATACAAAATCACCAGCAGGCGCAGCAGCAACAGCAAGTCCAAACTCAGGCGCAACAACAACAAACTGTGCAGCAAGTTAATACTCTGAAAATTAAGAATTGTGAGACTTGTGGTGCTCCTTTGCCACAAGATACTAACAAGAAACGGGCTGTTATGAAGGTGAATAACTCGTTTTAGTTTAAATTTTTGATTTATTAATAATTTTGTTCTTAGGTCAAGTGTGAAAACTGTCTCAGTGCAGAAGCAATACAGCCTCAAATATTTGTAGTGGCCGCTTCACCTGATGAGGCTACACAAGTGAAATTTGAAGAAACGGGAACGGATGCTCAAAACCCTTCAGGTCTTGGTAATTAACCTAGCGCAACAAATAATGACATTTTAAATAAACTACAGTTATTTCAGGCACACAAAATTCAATCCCAATCGGTATTAAAAACAATCATCCAGTTAAAAAACGAGGAGTCGCTAGTGTTACAAAATGTACCAAATGCAACGGAAGCGGTATTATATTTATTGGAGGCACGAAAAATCAGCAGAACAGTGCCGATAAACCATTTCATTGTAATATTTGCAATGGTAAAATGCGTCGATACTTAAGTGTGCAAAAATATATGTGGATGTTTTAGGCTCTTTTAGCAGATACTCATCATTGTGGTCGCACAAAAGATTGCATTCCGGAGAGAAAAACTTCAAGTGCAATATTTGCGGTTTGGCATTCGCCAAAGCAGCCTACCTAAAGAATCACTCTCGGATACACACTGGAGAAAAACCTTATCGGTAAGAACTAGTTTTTTGTGTGTTGGAACAATTTTACAAAATTTGTTTTCAGGTGTGGTGTATGCGGTATGCAATTTTCACAGTCGCCTCACTTGAAAAATCACGAACGGATACATTCGGGCGAGCGACCATACGTTTGTGAAGTTTGCGACAAATCGTTTGCCAGACATTCAACCTTGTGGAATCACAGGAGGATCCATACAGGCGAAAAACCATACAGGTATAGAAACAATACTTATTTATATTAATAATACTCTTTTATTCAGGATAAAAAAGAACTTACTGTTCTTCGGGCTAGAAAATCAAATTTATTCACTGAATTTTCAGGTGTGACATTTGCAGTTCGTGTTTCAATCAGGCGACACATTTGAAGAACCATCAGAAAGTGCACTCTGGAGAAAAACCATTCAAATGTGATATTTGTACTGTAGGATTTTCAGACAGGTAATTCATTTTTGTGTTGATTTTTGTTGATACATGAATAAATTTCTGTTTTTTTCATCAGATTTGCCCTAAAAAGACACAGGAATATCCACGAAAAATACGGTAGGACGAAACCGATGACTCAGGGTCAGGCTGAGGGTGTATCTTTAGATGTGTCAGCAGATGCCATTGCTCAGGATGATGTGTGAGTTCATTATACAATTTTCTAAATTTTTGTCCTATTTTGAAAATAAATTAATGTAAGATATATTTTTTTTTTAACAGAGAACAGGAAGAATTATTAGAGGCAAAGTTTGAAGGAAAATATGAAGAGGTTGACGATGATATGGGCGAGGAAATGGAGGAGATTGCAGAGCTACAGGTCCAATTGCAATAAAATTATGCTTCCTTTTAAATAAATATAATTCTAGGTATCAATAATTAGTATTTATGATTGTGACCAGAAATTTTTTCAGTTTTAAACATTTTAGCCAAATTTTTATAGTAATTACAAGATTCCTTGTTTTTGTTAATAATAATCATCAGGAACATTGTTTCAAATGTCTTGTCTTATTAGAATTATTTTTATTTCATATTAGTAACATTTTTGTTTACCAGAATTGTTTTCAGTTAGAATTATTATTTTTTTTGTATATATGACGTTTCATTGATATGCCCTAGGAAATCGATTTAATGATACATTACTTTTAGATATTTTTATTGAAAAACAAAACAAAAAAATCAATAAACTTTCAATGAGATTTTCATTTTGAAATCCTCTACGGGGGTGGTGTTCATGGGGAATCAAAATCGATTGGTAAATTCTTGTATGGTGGACCGTGAACTATGGGGTATACATAACAGCTAGATGATAAGCTACTAGAGAGCCTCAATATGCTGCTCAAACTTTAGACTCTCGTCCACTGTAACCCCAAGACACTTAGTATAGGCGGAGGGATGAATAAAATCACCACATAAGGAGACATTGAATAATAAGCACTTGAAGTATTGGTCTTGGTTGTTGAAGGATAGATTGTTGCTGTCGCACCAGGTTTTTATAAAACATGCCAAGGATAGAGCCCGAGGCAGTTGTGGCTTATTTTATCCAAAAACACTTTAAGAAACTACCTACTGACGATCACTTAAGTACGACTGGAACCATTTCAGAGTCACACCTCTAAAACTTCAAGCTTATGGAGCGCACCAAAAACCTCTATCGTTAAGATGGAGCAGGTAATAGTTTAATGGATATGTCATCGTAGCCAGAGGAATTTTTGTTCTTGAAGGTTATTTTTGATCTCAGGAACATCGACTTGTGCCAAGAAGTAGGAATTTGAGACATTCTTGTCTGTCAAATAGTCTAGGGGATTGATCCCGACGTCCAAGCTGCGACAAAAGAGCTCCAGCTATAAAGCAAAAGAAATTATCTTGGTTTTTATTGAAAATATCAGTATACCCAAGTCACACAAGGATTTTGGAAACGACAAAAGACACAGGATGGGTCACAAAGTCCTAGTAAATTAGAAAAAAGCTAATTAATTAGGTATAATCTTTATTTATTAATATTTTTTTAAATACGCACATGTACTCGCTATAATTAATTCATTCAATAAGTATGGTAAAATTTAAATTATCATCTAAATAGTTACAAATATTTAACAAGGGAAACATCCAATAAATACAATAAATTTGAGTGGAATGAGATACACTTCTTTTTACAATAATAAATATTATTTCGTTGAAAATAGTCACAATATTATTAAATTTAAACAACAATTGTCACACATATAAGTTAGTAATTATTTTCGATATGATTGCATAAAGGTAACACTAAAAATCTAGTGACAATAACTATATTATGTTGTATATTTTTCAATTTCATGTTTTATTATTTACAAATAATCTTTTAGTGCTACCTAGAGCCTATTTTTATGAATATGATTTTTTTTGTGGATTTCTCAGCAATCTGACCATGCATGTAATATGATATATGAATTTTAAAAGCAAATCTTACAAAAGTCTTCACACAAAGTTTTATATGAATGTCATTTCTAATGTTTGCTTCAAGATCTCATCCTAAATGATCAGAGCTATTTAATGTCAAATATATTTATGAAATCGAATCATTATTATTATAATAGTGCAAAGCAAAAAGTCAATGTAGTAGTTATAACATAATTTAAAGCTCAAGGAATATTAGATTTGACTGAAAAAAGTTAGCCCGTAATAATAGCTGCTATTGGTGAATCAAGCTTAAAGCTGAAAGTTATGTAGAAGTTTAATTGAATTAATGAAAAATAATTAGGTGGCTACTTAATTAAAATCTAATTACATTAAAGCTGTCAAGGTTCAAGACAATTTTTAACAAGAGACGTGCTCCACGAATACTTCATGTACCACAAAAGATTTTTCAGTGAATTTAATGTTGAATTCAAAAATCCACTTTAGTCCTTTACCTTGGTAGAGGAAAAAGCCACAGTACAACTTTAGGCGTACAAATCTTACCTTATTCTATGAGGTTGTAGTATGCATAATCTAGTAATATCGAGAAGTGATGCGACTTTGAGGTAATGGCAGTGAATTTGTAGACTCAACTTTGCACTGTGACTTTTCCATCTGAAAAATGTTCTAACAACTCTTTCTCTGTCTGATCATATGTTGAAAATTAGAATTATGTCTTAAGAAAACTCATTCATACAAAAACTCGGCAATGTCTACCCCAGTCAAATAACATTTTTGTTTAGTGATTCAGTAACACTTAAGACAATATTTTCAAGTGCTTCTTTTGACACTGATTTTGCAAAGTTACGTTTTTTCAATTGATTTTGATAGTTAAAGAATCCTTAATACTTTGGTACCCATCCTTGATAATGCCAAATCAAAATAAATTTAATTTCCTTAACACAATATTTATTAAATTTATTTCGTGTATTACATTTTGAATATTTTATAACGTGCTTTTCTAATTAGTACAATAAATTAATAAAAAAAAAGATTACCCTTCTGATACGTTAGCATATGCGTTGTCATGTAACAACTATCACTTAAATACCAAAACAAGATAAATACATAGTAATAATTAATTGTTATACCACAGATAAAAATCGAAAAATCTAAAAAGCTATACAGTTTTGTTTTGTTTTTTTTAATATTATAATAATTGGTTCCTAAACACTGCTGTACAGGCCGTCGCCACCGCTTCAACGGCCCAAAATCTAAAATTAAATTTTATACACGGACAAAACAACTTAAAAAATCTAAACGTTGATAGGAAATACAACTGAGCCTCAAGTTACATTAAATTTAATACTAGGGTTTACATAATAAATGCAACTTAAATCAATTTGGGTAAATACTACTTTCCCATTTGCATTTCCAATCAACAAAAATCTCATCCTCATTTAATTAGGTATACAATAATAATAATAATAATAATAATTAACTAATTATGTATACACAATAAACGTTGACTAGGCAAAGGGGTGATTGATTTCATTAATTCATATTATTTTGCTTATGTTAATAATAAAGTCCTAATCGAATTTAATGAGTGCCTCGTATAGATTCGTTCAGTTCACCACTTGGCTTGGCCGCGCATATCTGCAATTGAAAATGTACGTCGACGATCATCTTACTTTAAATCTAGAAACAGACAAAGAGAGAGGCTTGATTGTAGATGATTTCGTTAAGCGATAAGCTGTGTAGTGTACATTAAAACATTATATGCAGAGTAGGTGAAACAAATATTAATTATTGTTAAAAATCTAACAGCTGAAGAAAAATGGCAGCAGTTCCTTGTCATTTTTCAATAACTGTCTGAAACCCAATTTTTTGAATAAATGAAATAGCAAATATGTGAATTGAAATGCCAGTTAGTTTAGCAAACACAAGATATTACTAGTGTTAGTTTCAACATTACAATTTACTTTTAGAGCCTAGAATAATAACCATCAAATGATTTTGTTAGAGACAATATACATACAAGCGTACTAAAAAATCAGCTAAACCAACAATTATTATCAAAAACCAGATTCTCATCTGTCAACTCAAACATATCGTTTAATAAATTGTAAAAGGCTGAGTAGAAAGATAAGAATCTGCCCCTGTAGAAACAAACTCAACAAAAAAGATTCAGACATTAGTTCATTGAAAACTTTCGTCATTAATTTCACTCACCCGGAGTATAAATTGGTACATCACCTTGGTTAAGGGCCTCGCTCTCTCCGGCACCTGACGGCGGAGGCATGGCAAACACCTGGTTGGGAGCGGGGGCCGTTTTGGGCGACGGCTGACTTGTTATGGGCGGAGAACCTGACCTCGATCCTGCGGCGACTCCTTCTTCACTACCATCGTCCTTGAAATATAATAAAGATTAATTTTTTGGCCAAATTATAATGGGAAATGATACTAAAATTAGCTTTGTTTGGTTACATTTGGAAATTTTATCAAAATGCCTCATTTTATTTGATCAGAATTTACTGTATATTCCGGATTTTCATAAGCAACATAAGTTACCTATAAATACTTTTGCAACATTGATCTCACTAGCAAGATTGGTCCGAGCGAGCTTGGTCCTTTACACTACCACTACCTAAACCACATGATTTCTCCACCTAATATTTTCAACTTTTCTCCTGTATCCTGCAGTGAAGTTAGGGATATCATAGATAACATTAAAAATAAGACCAGCAGTGATATCTTTGGTTTGAGCATCAAATTGATCAAATTCATTAAGAATATTATTATCATTCCCCTAACCAGATTAATTAATTCCTGTTTTCGCCCGAATGTTTTTCCTGATATTCTGGAAAAGCTCTTGTCGTACCTGTCTTTAAAAAGGGTGACAAAAATGAAGCCACAAATTACAGGCCCATCTCATTTCTGCCGATATTGTCTAAGATTGTGGAAAGATGCATGGCTTTGAGATTGGTGAAGTTCTTCGAGGAGAACCGATGCTTAACTGAATGCCAGTTTGGTATTCGAGCGGGTAGATGTACTACATTGAGAAGAGTATATTGAATCTCATTGCCGATATTCTGGATTCTTTTGACGATCTTCAATTTAGTGCTGTGCTTTTTCTGTGACTTGAGTAAGGCATTTGACTGTATTTTCCATGAAATCTTGCTGAGCAAGCTAGTACACTATAATTCTTATCTGGAAAACAGATCCCAAACTGTCAGGGTGGATGGGGTGTGTTCTGCGGAAAGGGTTGTAAATATAGGTGTGTCCCAAGGGTCTGTCTAGTGGCCGATCCTATTTTTAATCTATGTAAATGATCTCCCTTTCAACAGTGATCAAGAAAAATACACCCTTTTTGCGAATGACACCACAGTCTCTATGTCAGCGGGATCGGTTGATCAGGCAGTCTCACAGCTTGAAGCCACTCAGGATAGAGTG